AGGAGACCAGAACCCACACAGAGCCAACTCTGCCAAGCCAAAAGAACTCTCTGCACAACCCACTAGGCAACTGATAGATAGGACATAAAGGCGTGGAGGGGAGACACATTTTCTAGATACCTACCATGTGCCAGGCAGTGGGCTAAGCTCTTCACATATAGGATCTCATTTAATCCCTCAACAATACTGTAAAAAATGTACCACTGTCCCCATTATAGAGATTAAAAAGCAAACCCAGCCTCAGAGGAAGCAAACCACTTGCTTTAGGTTAAACATTAGTGGTAAGTGGAAATATAAGTCATTGAGGTCTGTCTGACCCCAAAGTTTGCGTTTTAAGCATCATACATGAGCCCAGGGCAAGCATTCAATAAATGCCAGAGAAATGATCAGGGTGACACTGGGGTGGCAGGGCAGACTGGCATTTATTGAGTATCCAGGACACACCAGTTGCTATGCTAGGTCATTGTGTCCATGTGGCACCCCAAGATGTGTCAGCAGTCTCTTCGCTTCCAAGATGGCTCCCCACAACTGGACAACTGCAACAGCATAGAATGTGCCAGCTAGATGGGCAGCCACATGGGAACACAACTGTATACAAATCCCTCCTTATAGTGTTAGTTCTCCACTTTCCCGTCTTTAAGTAAACCGAGTCTCAGGAATAGGGGGAAAAAGTTATTCTATGTGCTTCCAACATTAGGCCAACCAAGTACTTCCTCAACTCTTACCCTGGCATTACTGATTTTAAGAAAGTACCAGGTGAATCTAAAATAATAGAGTCCACTCTTGGGAACATTATGCTCCCCGTTCTCCTTAAGGAGTTTCCTCTTTGGGGCTCTTTGAAGCACTGGCCACAATCTATATTCATTACATAGAATCACTGCCTGGAGACGTCTGCCTCAGGCCCAGCCTATCCCTGAGCAATAGACGCAAACAGGTCCACTCAAGTGACCTGGGCCAGAGCACGTAGGCAGCATTTGTAACGATTTCATATATTTGCATCAAAGAACGTTCTTTCATGAAAGCAGTTGGAAAAAAAATGCTAGGGAAATGGTTTCTCTCCCTTTAGTAACCTCAGATAAAACAATGCCTGCAGTTTAATCCTTTTTGTTATAAATATGTTGCTATTTTAGGCCCTGTCAATTCAGCACAAAATGCTTTGCCTGGGAAATTTATGGATAAGCACATGTAGGGTTTTGCTCAAGGGTGACTGTGGGTTTTATTCTTTCCTCCTCTCTGAATCAGGGACGCAGGAGGCTCAGGCCCGCAGAGCAGATGAGTTCCAGAGGCTCTGTAATGTCCATACCAAACCTTATGGAAGATTAAATAGAGCTGGTTAGCGGCCCAGCTGCTGAAATGGAAGACATCTGCTTCAGGCCTGAGGATACCAGTGACCAGCTGAATGAGTGCCAGATCTCTGTGGGCTCTAATCTCCTGAGGCCAAGGGCCCCGGAAGTTCGTTCACTGAGGCAACCCGGTCCCCAGGCCCAACACAGTCCTTGGCAATTGGTAAGGTAAAAACAAGTCATTATTGAATGGACAATAGCAAAATGCTATTCATTAACTATTTACTATGGAACTCTAAGGTAAGTACCATGCCCACTCTATCATTTATTTATTAATTATGTGACCTGAGGTAAGTCATTTAAACTCAGCAGGTGTTATTTTTTTCTTGATGGATAACAATGAATAACACCCTTCAAAGTACATCTCAACAATGCTGGGATGCATTAATGAGGTGGAACAACAGGTCAAAGGCAATTTAAAAGAAAAATCCCCTCCAAGTGTGCACACGAGGCGGAGAGAGGAGGGCCTTGTATTTTGCCATCAAAATATTGACCACGCCAGGCCCAGCCAGCATGGATCAGTGGTTGAGCGTTAACTTATGAACCAGCTAGTCGTGGCTCGATACCCAATCAGGGCATATGCCTGGGTCGTGGGCTCGATCTCCAGTGTGGGGCATGCAGGAGGCAGCTGATCAGTGATTCTCTCTCATCGTTGATGTTTCTCTCTCTCTCTCTCCTTCTTCCTTCCTCTCTGAAATCAATAAAAATATATACTTAAAAAAATATTGATCACACCAGACTGCAATCACCCACTTCCTTGTCTATCTTCCCTTCAGGACTAGAGAAAAAAGCTCACGCAGCACTCAACGTTTCTGACAAAGAAGTCTTCTGTTCATTCCAGAGCAGGATGCCCCTGAAGGTCCCCCCAAAACGAGGCCAGGATTCACGTCTAGCTCTGCCACATACTGACTATATTATCTTGGGAAAGTTACACAGCTCACTCTAACTCAAGCTGTTCCCTCATCTGCGAATCTGGACAATGAACACTTACCTCAAGAAGGTTTGCAAAGATTAAGTCAGATCATGCATGGAAAGTCCCAAGCGCTATTTATAGACTTCACTTTACCTTTGAGGTGTGGCACAATATCCTCCTTCCCTGCATACGGGTCACAGCGAAAGCGGTCCAGGTGGTCGATGGTGCACTGGCCCACAATGGGCTTCCGTCCAAATTGCCTGTGATCGATGACCTTGATCACCAGCGGAGGCATGTACAGTTCCTCTTTGGGCAAGAACTGGGGGGTCACAGAGGTAAGCGTCACTTCTCTCTACAAGACCTGACAAGAGCAGCTTTGCCAATAAACACCTCCCAAAGGACCAACCCAGGATCTTTTTGTCCATTTGGCACAGCCCAGGGGACTGGCAGTTAAGTAGCTCAGTAACTGACACGGGAGGCGAGCAGCACACGCTTGAAGGCATGGACTCTGAGCCAGACCACCTGGGACGGACAGAATCCTGGCTCTGCCACTAGGAGCCGCATGACCTCAGGGAAGTTTCTCTGCCCCAATTATCTTCTCAATAACACTAGGGTTGTTGAGTTAACACATGTGAAGTGCCTAGAATAGTACCTTAGTACCTGGCTCTGCTCTGTGACAGGATGTGGAGCTACCATTTAGTTGGAATTTAAAAATGCTCACACTAAAACGGAACCTTCAAGGGAAATAACTGTGGCTTGGGAACCTTTTAGCCCTGGGAGTTCAGTGCCAAAACGGGATGCTCATTTTTCCTTGACACCTCTCGGTTCTCCCATGTGGAACTTGGTGGCCTTGGCGACACTGTCTGATTGGGGAATCATTGCTGGTCTCAGGTGGATTTCCACCTCTGGGCTGCCACAGGGACGGAAGAAGCTGGGGTCAACTGAGTAGCTTCCCTCACCTTTGCCGACTAGGACTAGATTCCAGACTAGAACTTGGGGTGGAGGGTAGGGCGGCACTAGGGAGTGGACATGGATGGGCGGAGTGGCCTGGCAGCGATCACTCCGGGATTCTGGCTTGGAGCACCCAGGCGGCTGTCCATCAACACCATGTAGGGGAAGAACATGGGCTTTGGTGTTGGAGAGACCTAAGTCCAAACTCTAGCCACCCACTTGCTAGCTGTGTGAGTCACCTAACCTCTCAGTTTCCCCCGGAGTGAGCGTAAGAGAAGGGAAAACGCCTGCTCTCTACAGGATTAGTGTAAAGACTAGATGCAGGGAGTGTGCATGCAGCTAGCACGGAGCTGTGGCTGCTGCTGTAGTCCTGCCACTCACTGCGGAACGTGGGTAAGACATTTCCCCTCTCTCAGCCTCAGCCTCCTCGTCTATAAAAGGGGAACTTAATCCACAGGACTGTAGAGTTCGAGAGCGGGTATGTTGGAGACACCAAATGAGTGGGCTGGGGAAAGGAACAGGAAGGTTCTGGACCTCCTACCCCATCAAACTGAGGTGCCTTTATTTTTATCTCTTTTTGAAAAGTAGAGTAAAACAGGGGGATTCTTCTCTTTTAGAAGTTAAGGATTGTGGAAAGACTGAGTGACCTCATCTTCTTCCAAACTATTCCGTGTCTACGATGGAGGACTGTGAACCAGAGCTGATGCGGCCACATTTCTAATAACCAGAGGGTAACTTCAACTCAACAAAGTAGATGTCATCACAGGGGTGCCTGGAGGTGGGGCCCAGGCCCAGGCTGTCAGGATGTGGCCCCATTACCCCATGTAGGTTCCTCCGTGACTGCTCTTCCCCAGTCAGCCAGTCCCTATGTGGAGGTTCTGGTCCCTGTGCACCTGCAGGGCCACAAGGAGGGTTAACTTTCTGCCCTCAGGGCATTGAGCAAGGGCTTGTCACAGTGGAATAGATGGCAAGTTTACTGGAGAAATACATTAGTATTGCTCATAGATAGTTCTCTCTCATTGGGGTTGATTGAAACTTTAAGAAGCCATCACGGCAGTGTAAGAGTGTAAGGGGGAAAAGGCACTGCCCAGTGACTCCAACGCAGTTTTTCTATTTGCTGTCAGACTTTGGAAATATATAAACTACGTGTAGGTGGTGTTGTCAATATATTTCATATTTCAAATAAAATCCAGCTGCTCAGCACACATGAATGATTACAGTCTTGATACTGTACCACTTTCATGAAGAGAACAGAACCCGGAAAGTTGGGTGTCTTCTTAAGGTTTTTGATGACCACAGACTCTACCCTCTCCCCTCCACACTCCACAATGAGACTGGGCGATGTGACAGAAGCCATCTGGTAGTTCTTCATATTTCTTAAGCCCCAAGCTAGAATCTAAGAAAACAATGTAAAGAGAAGGGAAGACAACCCAGCATATTAAAAATAATATTCCAAAGAAAAAATTCTTTCTTGATACCCAGTCAATTCTTTAAGGGTGACTTGTGCGGATTTGCTAAAAATCTCTGAGAACATTATCCTAGAAAGCCTGCAGGTCATGCAACAGAGCAGGCCTGCCACTCCTTCTCCTGCCTGAGCTGCTGAAATAGCAGAGCAGCTGAGTGCAGGAATCAAATCCTGGCTGTGCCATAGAACAGGATGTGAACTCTGGCAAGTTGGTTAACCACTCTGTGTCTCATCTATAAACAGGACTGATAGTTTTATCTCTCCTAAGGTTATTTTGAGGATCAAGTGTAAACTTCTTCAGTGTCTGACATGCAAGCATTTAAAAATGACAGGTGTTGCTTAAAGCCATCTGCCTCAGTCTTTGGGAACAAGAACAAGACAGCCTGAGAACAGAAATCCCAAAGTAGCTGCTGCTTGACTAACAAGGCCCCTGGAGTAGGCCAGACCCTGTCCATCGAGCTACTTGCTTGGCTCCATTGGCCTGTATCTGCTCCATTGTCTGACATCTCACCATTTCCATTACTCCTTTCCCACTCTCCATCTCTGCCTCCCTCTGGGGTCCCTTCCTCTCTCTCTCTGTACACACAGGCTTGCTGTTTGGAGTCTGTTTTTTCTCTCCTAGTTCTTTAGCTGACACAGGAAACTCAGAAATCTATTGACTCATAGTAAATGAGAACTCTAAAGTCCCTCAGTAATGCTAAAATTGACCTGTTCCTGTTTCTCTACAAGCCTTCCATTTCCATGAATATTTCAAAATTTGAGGCAAATCTATAATAATAAAAGCATAATATGCTAATTAGACCAGATGTCCTTCTGGACAAAACCAGGGCTGCAAGGGAAGCCCAGGTCCCAGGTGCCAGAAGGAAGTCAGTGCCGGCAGCTGGGGGAAGGAAGGCCTACTCTTGCATGATAAGCAGCTACTCTGAAAGCATATATGAGCAAGGACTCAGCAAGTACCCTGTGTCTCAGAATCAGCTCTGCAGTTACAAGGACGTCCCCACAAGTCTTGTCTCCATTCTTTACTGGGTACCAGAGAAGTCTGGGCATGATGTCCATTTCTGAGCTTAGTTTCACCAGAGGAGAGCACATGCTTCGTCCCAAAAATTCATCTTTGCCCTAGAGAAACAAACAATCCTTTAATTCCCCAAACAACATCCCTACACATCTCCATCAATCCCCAAAGCTATCTTAGAAATTCTAAATTACCTACCACTTGATCATTGTCAAAAAGTTCGATGACAACTTTGGGTGGGTTCTGTAGGACTGTTTGGGGTTCCCCATAGATTTCAATTTCATCAAATATAATGGTTTGGTCCCATGTGGGATTCAGAGTAGAGTGGATGATCTCCGTGGTTTTACTTCGATGGAGGAAGGAGACATGAGCATATGGGTCTAAAATCGAAAAAGAGAGTAACAGTGGGGTCATGGAGAAAGTCTGAAATCATAAAACTCCTAGAAGTAAACATTGCTCCTTGACATTGGCTTGACAATGATTTTTTTTTTAAAAATTTGACACCAAAGCAAAGGCAACAAAAGCAAAAATAAACAACTGGGATTACATCAAACTAAAAAGCTTCTACACAGCAAAGAAAACCATCAGCAAAATGAAAAGGCAACCTGTGGATGAAGGGTAAAGAAATGTGGGATATTTATAGATATGGGTACATATACATACACGATGGAATATAATTCAGCCTTTAATAAACAGTAAATCCTGCCATTTGTGACAATGTGGATGGACCTCGAGGGCATTATGCTAAGTGATGTAAGCCAGACAGAGACAGAAAAACATTACATGGTATCATTTATATGTGAAATCTCCCCCCAAAAGTCAAACTCATGGAAAAGAGAGTAGAATGGTGGTTGCCAGGGGTTGGTTGGAGGGGGATGTGGGAGATATTAGTAATAGGGTACAAATTTCAGTTATGAGATGAATAAGGTCTGAGGATCTCATGTACAACATGGTGACTATAATAATAAAAGCATACTATGCTAATTAGACCAGACAGCCAAACGACCTTCTAGATGTCCTTCCAGACAACCTTCCAGATGAAGCCATGGCGGCGGGGCCAAGGCAGAGGCAGTTAGGAGCGATCAGGCAGGCAGAGTGGTTAGGGGCGATCAGGCAGTTAGGGGAGATCAGGCAGGCAGGTAAGTGGTTAGGAGCCAGCTGTCCCAGATTTCGAGAGGGATGTCTGACTGCCAGTTTAGGCCCGATCCTGCAGGGGTCCTGGATTGTGAGAGGGTGCAGGCTGGGCTGAGGAAACGCCCACTCCCCCTCCATGAACGAATTTCATGCAATGGGCCTCTAGTAGTTGATAACACTGCATTGTATAATTGAAATTTGCTAAGAGAGTACAACTTAAGTGTTCTCATTCACACAGACACACAAAATGTAAATATGTGAGGTGATGGACATGCTAACTCAATTGTGGGAATCCTTTCACAATGTATACATATATCGAATTGTACATTTTAAGTATAACTTTTTCAATTATACCTCAATAAAGATGAAAAAAGATAAGAAAAAATCCATTTCTTTTCCATGCTAAATAATTTCACAAAAAAATTTTTGCAATTGCATAGAACAGACTTATCTAAGTATAACCTAATCTCTAAATTAAAGCTGTCTTACATAAGCCAAAAGAGTACTTGGTTTTTAGCATTGTAGCATCATATGGATGGGACTCTTTGATTTTGCTCCAGCAAAATATCTTATATCTCAAATTGCAAGGAATGTGCAATTTTGATAGGATTCTAACTTTGACTTTCAATGATTGAGTGCCCCCTGCTGACGAATATTTGGAAATGTCTTCAAAAGCCATTTTGGAGATGTGTATTATGGGGATAACTTTGAATGTGCGCTAATTTGTAAGAAAAGGAAATCATTCATATATGCTTGGGAGACACCTCACATTGATGTGAGCTGCCAGAGTGTCAGGCACCTGCTTTAAGAGCTGTTTCCACAGAAGGCCCTGGCAAGCTCTGCTGGCCTTCAGGTGCTGAAGTGGAATTCAACAGCACAAACCCCTGGATGGCAGGACCCCTGACCTTACCCCCTCCCTCACCCACAGCCTTCTCCTTAGAACCAGTCCAAAGGTGACAAACGAGCTGAGCTGTCAGTGTGAAGCTTCATGGTCTGTTTGATGGTGCTGGGAATTTAGGGAGTAGGCAGCAAAGGAGGTCAGGATGGACTCCAAACTGCTTCAAGCCTAGGCTGTAGGTAAATAGGCAAATTTGTGATCTTTTTGTTAAGTTGAGAGAACTACATATACATATACATACATATTTCTATATATGGTCTTATATGTATATTTATGATCTTAATTTACAATCAACCCAAGAGTCCAGGGTATATGTATGCAGCTTTGTGTACAGAGGAAAGAAACTGCTTTTCTTCTTGGTGATTTTCATTACTTAATCAATGAATGATTATTAGTATGAAAAGGCCACATATGTTCTGTGTATCTCCAGCATCAGTAACAGTGATCACCATTGAACTCAGTGCTTATTGATCCATGACTGAGCAATTTACTTCATGCACATCAAACTATTGTTAATATGGAGATGCTTTTTGCTCTTGTTAGAAATAACTGGAAGCATTCACGTGGGGAAAAGTAGAATCGAGATAGCCTGCTATGTAATGAGGTGTGCGAGGGAGGGTTTTCCTTTTACCTGAAAAGCTATCCTTGTCTAAAGCCATGAGGTTCCTGGCTTGGTAGATATAGCAGCGCAGATGGTACATGTAGACTCCTAAAAGAACAGGATGGAGGTTACTTACAAGAAACATCATATTGCAAACTACTATTTTCCAGGAGTATTTGCAGATAATAACATGTTTCAGATCAATGGGTCACCCAAATCTACTTCCGCCAAGTAATGAACACATATAAAGCACTTCTGTTTCCTGTACACAGAAACATTTAAAAACCACAGGAAGCTCAATGCAAGTGTGTCCATCAGGAGACCATTCATGACTCCTGGTGTCGACTGCCTGGATTTAGGGCACTGCTTGTCATCACGACCTTTGAGAGGAAACTGGGTCTCCAGGCATTACGGAAATAGGACTTCCTATTCTAGTTCGGCACCAGATCTAGGAAACAGTTGTTTGTTCAAAGTTTCTTTGATATTTCAAAATCTTTATATTCTTTATCCTTATTTATATTAATACATATACATTCCCACCCCACTCAACATGCCCCCCACCATCACACCTCCCCACACACATAATTTGAGGATAGTAGAGCACTGTGTTTCACTGCACAGATTCTATACTACATGAGCTCAAATCTGGTCTCTATTGCTTACAAGCTGTTAAGACCTCAGTCAAGCTATTTAATCTTTCTGCACAGTAGCTTGCTCACCTGTAAAATGGGGACAATAATAGTCCCTCACATATGTACAGTGCCTGGTACCTGCTAAGACTTATATAACGATTTGCTATGATTATTATTACAAAATAGGTCTGCCTCATTCTAAAATTCCTGAAGGTTATCATGGAAATCAACCTTTACTTAAATGTTTGAATATTTTTTCTCTCATTATAATCACTTTTTGGGGGGTTTAATAGACAGGATGAGTACAGAGTATATTGAACAGAGTATGTTAAAATGAGTGATATGACCACTTTCTACGTCAAATATGATTTTAAAGCTGCATTTAAAAAATCCTCTTCCTCGATCAACCGAAGGACTTGTATGCATGCATGTAAGCATAACCAATGGACACGGACAACAGGGGGATGAGAGCATGATTGGGGGGGCGGTTTGGGGGTTAATGGGGGGATGAGGACACACTTGTAATACCTTAACCAATAAAGAAATTTAAAAAAAAAATCCTCTTCCTCAAGTGATGAAAATGAAGGTACATTTTTATCATATTTGGTGATTTAAAGAGTTTTCTTGAGATAAAAATCATACTATGAGATGCATGAATACATGCTATAGACTTACTGTCAAAAATACAGGACACAATGGGAGTGTTGGCCCCGAACACAGTGGTGGCACTGTGCTTCTGCTTTTCCGTGCTTTTTTCATCTCCGTCCTCGGTTGTGTCTGCGCCCTAAGGAGGCAGAAAATCAATGAGGCATGCCTACAATGGGAGAGGCAAGAATTACCAACAAATGGAATGGTGGTTGTTAAAAGAGAGTTTTCTCATCCAATCACGTTATTTTTAGAGATGAATATAGCCCAGGACAGTAAGCAACGGTCACTTAGCTGGAAAGAGATAGAGCAGAAAGGTGAAGCCAGACCTTCTACCTCAAGTCCAGGCTTATCACACCCTGCCACTGAAAGAAAAAGAGAAAAGAAAAAGTGTGAAGGGTAAATAAGGGGGTTAAAAGGATGAGAGGAGGAAGAGGAAGAGCATCAGAAGAGGAACACAGCTGGTCAGTGTGCAGAAACGTAAGGAAAGGCTGTTCCCGATCATCACATTGTTTTAGATCAACCACCACCATTTTACTAATCACTCCTTCCATCTGCTTTTTCCTCACTGCCTTCTTCTTCTTTTTCTCTTTTTTATTTTTATTTTTTACTATATTTTTATTGATTTCAGAGAGGAAGGGAGAGGGAGAGAGAGATAGAAACATCAATGATTAGA